TTCATCTTCATTCCAAGTAGTTTCTCATTGGAAACACTTAGTCTCCATCTCCTCTCTCTCTCTCTCTGTCCTGCTGTTATCCTTTGTGGTTAAACCTCTGTGTCTTAATCCAACAACCATTTCATTGTGCATGCAGGTTCAGAGGCCGTCCAACTTCTTGCAGGCAGCTCGGAGCTGGCAGAGCATGTGTTCGGGGAACACCGTGGAAGCTGCACTGCCGTCCCAGCCTGAGCCTCCGACGTCACGCAGCCTCGCTCCACCTGTCCCCCACACCACGGTAGGAGCAGTCCCAGGTGTGCCCCAATTCAAGGGGAAAGGACCCAGGCACCGCCTGGCACCAGGAGGCCATAGGGGCCATCGTGCACAAGAGCACGTGGGGTGGGCCACTTTCTCTGCATCACCACAGAGAAAGGCACTGGGCTACACTGCTGCTGTCACCACCCTGCAAGTAGGGCCAGGACCTGTGCCGAACACATTGTCTTCCCTTCAGCAGGGAACGTTCTTAGGGAAGTCCTCAAATAAGTCCATGGCCGGGAAGCCCAGAGGGCACAGGGAGGTGCCGCGGGAGTCTGGACCTGGCTCAGGTGCTTCCTCCACGTGGCTCAGGAACCCGGCGCTCTCTGAAGTCCTGACGCAAGCATCTGCTGCCACACAGCTGCAGGAGCCCCATCGCAGATCCGGTTCTTTGTACACGGAGGAGCCGCTCTCAAAGGACAGAGGAAGAAAGAATCCTGCACAAGCAGGAGGGGACAATGCCATGGCCTTTCTCTGAACTTCCCATTCCTCAGCTACAACATGGGCATGATAGCAGTGTCTCCCTCACAGGGTGGTTTGCACAGAGAGCAAGTAGAGACATTGCGATCACTCCAAAAAGTGGCCAGCGCAAATAAGGTTCTTTGTTCTCGGATAGGAATCTCCCACGCTAAGGCAACTTCTGATAAAAATCCATGCGGCAGGCAGGGTTGGAGACGGGCCACAAAGGGCATACGGAAAGATTTGAGGATGAGGTCCCCACGCAAACCAGCAGTGTCCCCAGAGCCTGGCACATGAAAGTCACTCCACACAGGGAGTGTTGGTGGAAACAGCCATGACCGTGATGGCAGCAGGAAGAGGAGGCTGAGCTGGACGCCTGATGGAGCTGCCTTGGGGATGGCCCCTCCCACAGGAAGGGCAGGAGGAGAAGACAGAGCACCTATGGCCAGAAGCAGGAGTTGCTGTTACCAAACCAGACCTTTCTCCAACTGAGGAGGCCTCACAGGTTCCCCTTCATGTCCTTATTCCTTAGGCTGTAAATAAAGGGGTTTAGCATAGGAGTCACCGCTGCATATAGCACTATTGCCACGAAGTCCTCGATTATGTAGAATGAGGAAAGATGCTGACAGATCCTGAACAGGGTTCCTTAGAACAAGGACCCCACTGCAAGGTGACAACTGCAAATAGAAAAGACTTTAAGCTTGCTCTGGGAATGCAGTCTTAAGATGACTGAGAAAATGTGTGTGTAGGAAAGACAAAGAAGAAGGCAGTGACAAAAAGTATGCTTCCTACTGTGTAAACAACAAACTCAATTGATGTGGATATCTGAGCAGGAAAGCTTTAACAATGCATACAGTTCACAGAAAATATGGTGAATTCTAATGCTTTCGCAGAATGAAAATGTGTCCATAAAGAGAGTGTGGATCAAGGGGTAGATACTTGTGATTGTCAGAGCTACAGACACTGAGAATATAGAATTTGGGATTTGTGGTTATGCCATGGTGAAGGGGATGAAATATTGCTAAAAATCTGTCATACGCATCACTTCCAAGAGGATAGTGTGCAGTTCTAGAAACAAAATTATAAAATAGATCTGAGTGAGGCACCCAATGTAGGGAATGGATTGACTGTGAGTTTGGATGTTTAGCCATATCATTGGTATATTGACAGAAGAGGTGAAGAAGATGTCAGAACAGGACTGGTTGGCTATGAAGAAGTACATGGGGTATGGAGGTTGGGAATAGAGCTGATGACCAGGACAATGAGCTAGTTCCCCACCACAGCAACCAGGTACATGAATAGGGATAGGAAAAGAAGAGGCTGATGTTCAGGCACCTCTGACAGTCCCACAAGGAGGAAATCTGAGATGATGGTTAGATTGCCTCTTGCCATGGTTTCCAGTTTCTTTTCTTTTTTTAATCAATACTCTATAAATTAATTTTGTTAAAAAAATTAAAAATAAAAACATACAATTTTCAAATTGAAGGCACACACCTCAGTAGTATTAGGAAGTTAAAATTATTTTGTTATTCTGGTGGTCTCTTGTTTCTGACCTACTCAGTAGTTAGAGAAGGTAGTCCTATTTATGCCAAATGCTCCAGTAGCAGCATTTCTCCACATCCAAACACTTTTTTTTTTGCATTTTTTGGCTGGGGCTGGGTTTGAACCCTCCACCTCCAGCATATGGGGCCAGCACCCTACTCATTTGAGCCACAGGCGTCACCCCCAAATACTTCTTTTTATATTCTATGCTTACTTCCACCTCTTCTCTGTTCCTGCTTTCATCTTTGCCCCACTCTCACCCCTATCTCCAGATGGAGATGAGATGGTGGAAACACATGGGTGGCAAGAAGCAGCAGGAGTCAGCATTCTGTGGTCCTCCGTCCCCCAGGTCTCTGAATTCCTGGGCTGTGCTCACTGACTGGCTCCCTCCTGTCTCTGGATAATGCCTTCTCTTCCTCTTGTCAGGAGCTCAAAAGGCTTCACCAGCACCTGGGTGCCAAGGGGTAATAGCTAGCTGTATTACTTAGATTATGCTTCAGGATGCTTACAGGTGAAGGTAATCTATCTTACTGATCATAATGAACTCCAAAACCTTTCACTTGATTCTTCAGCTAAGGGAAAATTGGTAGCCTTGTTATTAAGTCAGTAGTAATTGCAACAGTTGCCTTGTTTATCTGTACAATACAAGCTAACAACTCTAAATTATACCTACATCATTTCTACTTGGCTTTAGGAAGTAAGCAAGATTTTCATTTCTTGTTTTGTTTGGGGGAAACAATTGGGGTTCTTCCTCTAAGGTCACCTAAAGCATGTCAGGTAACAACACCCAGTCAGCCCAACCTTAACTCTTTACCTCTAGAAATCTAGACTTGACTGGATCCCATTCTTTTTTGTAATCCAACAGAAAAGCTCCCCAGTGTATTTTCCCTATTTTGGATTCCAAGAGGACACTCAAATAATCACATTGCATGTACATGTAACTCAGACAACTTTAGATTCTAACTGCTATACTAGACAATAGGGAAAATGGCATGACCAGAGAGTTCCCACAAGTCATAGCCCACCCCTCATGGTTGCATGAGACTGCCTACTGATGACACTCAGAAGTTAACTTAAATAATGGGCTCTACCATGTGAGAACATTCAACAGCAACCTTTTACATCACTGGTGAGTTCATTAGACCCTGACAAAGGGGCAAGAGAATTTAAAGCTGAAGAGTTAGTTCATATTTATTCTCAAATGGTCTGACTATAAAAGCAGCTTATAATTTCATGTCTTCATAATGAAGCTTATAATGTCATGTCTTCAACATGAAGTTGAAATTAATTTATTTTCCATGAATCTAAAGCATCTAGATCAATAAATTAAAATGCATACATTCTATAAGAGTCTTTTATACCAAGAAGCTTGTTTCTGGACTTCAACAGGGACTTTTCCTCCTAATTTCACCACACAAACAACAGCCCACTCTTGTAACATGTAGACACCAAAGCACTGCCACTCACACTGATAAAGCCATAGTTCCTGTGTTGTATCCAAACAAGCTAACACAGCCCCTCCTTTCCATGCAGTTAGCCTTGGATCCATATACTTAGCCCTTGTGATCACATCCATTTTTTCAATAATTCACCTAATTGGAGGTGCTGTTTTATTGAGAATTCTGTGCTTAAGAAATTCTTGAGGTTTATGAAACATCAAACCACCTTCTACCACTAGGATGGAGCATCTTCTTTTTGGTATCATCAGATGAACAGCAGTCTATGCTGTGAAGGATGGCTTTATCCAGACCTAGTGCTTTTCATTCAAACAATGAGATGGCAGTCTTCCTGGACATCAGTGCAGTGAGTCTCCTCAGAGTCATTGCCAGCCATCAGTCAGTCTCCCTGGGAGGATTACAAATCCACCTCCTGGGAATGAAGTCATTCTGGAGGATCAGAAGACTGGCCACGAATATTTCTTTCAAATCCAACAGGTCTGGACTCAGGCTTTCGGTCAGCAGTAGCTTTTGCAGACTGTTCTTGCTTGCTCTGAGTGGCCAGAAGGTACTGTTCATCATGAGGGTCCTCAGGATCTCCCTGGGATCTGTGCTGCAAAGTCATCATCTTCTATCAAATAATTCCAAAAGTTTCTGGGTAAAATAAAGCCATTGGAGCCTGGAATTTTTCATCTTCTAATAGAAACTGATGAAGTAGGGTAGGAGAATCTGGATGTCAAATCTGAAACTCATGGTCCTAAAGCCCAGACATGTCCTGATTCCAAGAAAAGATGGTTGCTTCGTGCTGGCTGTGTGAATGACAACAACTAGAAAAGCAGCAGCAGCAAGATACCTCAGCAGGTATCATGTGATAACTTAGGCCACAGGCACATGCCACACAATTCTGGATTCTAGTTTCTACAAATATTCATTGGAAATACATCTGTGGATACAAGCAAAGGTAATCTAAGAAAACATGTATAGCACCCCTTGTCATTGGCTGAAATTATACTTTGTAATGCTTGTAGAAGGATCTCTGATTTACATTAGTAAGGACAGTTGAAAGAACAAGACAGACGTCATCTTAAGCTTAAGTTTCAGTTTCCCTGCAGTTAACTTTCAGGTTCTCAGAAGTCAGGACGCAGGCACATGATGCCACCTCAGTGGCCGCTACCAATCAGAAAGGTGCAGGACCTCACGTAGAGATCACTCCCTTCCCCTCGCCCATAAAAGACACCTGCCCCCTTAGAACAGGGCCTTCAGCCCGCTCTCTCTGTGCCGAGATACTGGAGGCCCAGGCTCACGAGCTTGAATAAATTCTCTCTCCTGATTTTGCATTGGACCCTGGCTCCTTGGTGGTTCTTGGGGACATTATGATCTGGGCACAACATTTGGGGGCTCATCCCTGGATCCCCCAAACCCCACGGACCCCGTCCAGGAGAGTTTGGTAAGTGTCTGAGGCGCTTGTGTCCTGTGTTTTGTGTCCTGCCGATTAAGAGTCTGATCTGATGCTGATGTAGGGTCAAGGTGGTCACGCTGGGGACCAACCAGCAGGGACAAGTGGGAGATGTCCCCCCTCCCCAGGCAGATTGGGACGTGGAATCCCCAATCAGTGTTGAGGGGCACAGAGAAGCAGATCCCCTTAGTAATTTTGACAGATGATGTGGGTAGCTCCCGCTAGGCGCTGATCGGCTGCCATCCCAGTTTCAGTTTCATTTTTGTACTCAGTCTTTTTGGTTTCGATTCGTCTGTCTGTGTTTTGTGCTTTGTGAGCCTTGTTCTGTGTTTGTGGTTTTAGGGTGTGGGTGACATGGGTCAGACACACACCCTAAATGTTAAATCTAACATTAGCTCATTTCCAGGATTTCAAGGGGCAAGCCCAGCAGTACGGGTTCCAAGTGAAGAAAGTTAAACTTGAAATCTTTTGCAGGAACGAATGGCCGACTTTTAATGTCGGCTGGCCACCAGAGGGCACCCTCCATCTTCTGACTATTCTCCAGGTTAAAAATGTTTACAAGTCTCGAACAGCACACCCAGACCAAATTCCGTACATCAATGTATGGCAAGACTTAGTGGAGAACCCACCAGACTGGTTAAAGGCCATGCTGCCTCTGAGTTCCAGCGACCAAAAAGAGATAATGGCTTTTTTTTTTTTT